CCCCGCCCCCCTCCCACCCCACCCAGCTGGGCTTGCACCTTGTACGGAAAAAGCAACCGTCTCCGGTAGCATTTAAACCCAAAGGAGCTTGTTTTCACAGGTGAGAGGGGACAGAAACGCCCGCAAACACGATGCCAGGGCAGTGCCCCTGGCACCAGCAACCACGCGTGCAGAGTAGGGCCAAGCTGGTAAAAGGCAGGACTCGCACAGCAGCCTCTTGCATTGTAGGCAGGGGTGGCAGAAGGCCAGGACTAACGGGGCTTAGCCCCCCCAAACTTTTCATGGCAGCCAGCAGCAGCAGCAGCACCACGGCGCCGCTGTCCTGCAGCACCCAGCACTGCTCGGCGGACAGCCGCTCCTCCACCACCGTGTACAGCGCCAGCACACGCAGGAGGGAGGGATGGGGGTCAGGGGGTCAGGCAGGGTTCAGCCCCCGCCCCCAAATAATATTTTCCCCCACTGCTTATGATGGTAGGGGTTAGTCCCAGCAGTGAGTGCAGCCACAGAGGCAGACAGGTTTGGGTATGCGCATTTCTGCACAAGGAACTTGGCTTTTAGAGATAGTTTTTCCAGAGGATTGAAGCAAAACTCCCCTCATGAGTAAGCACTGAGCAAGGGTAACATGTTGGCTGACTGGAAGGGCTCTCTGTCCTTCTCCGAGTGACTGCCCACACAAGTCTGCTACCCCCTAACAGTCAGAGAAGTGTTAGCTCCCAAAGTGCCCCTTTCACAGGTAATGCTCAATTTTGGGGGCCATGGGAGGACCCTGGACAAGGGAGGATCCAGGGGAGGTATGGTGGTACATTCATACCCCACTTTGCTGCCAGTTTGCCCCCAGGAACTCCAGTCTTGGCTGCTGGATGCATATGCAGTGAGCTGTCCACCACCACTGCACCCCGCTTTTCACCGGCCTGGGTCTGCCACTGACCCTGACCGTAGCAGTGCTGGGGTGTTCAGGTACTCTTGTCCCACACTCTGCAGTAGCATGAATTAAAATATGGAAAGGATATCTTTAGAATAGGATATCAATCCCCATCCCAGCCTCCAAAATTCAGCCACCTTAAGGGAGGAGCACACCAGCTGTTACACATGATGCGGCAACAGCCCGCAGCACTCTGGAATCACGTAGGCAGGGTGAATCCAGGTCAGCGGGATGCAATTCCCTAAACTAGAATTCAGCCACTTCCCAGTACTCCCTCCACAGAGTCCACAAGCAACATACTCAAGTCAGCTATCATTAATGCAGCCAGAGCTGCCAGGCACACCGCCCTCAACCACGCAATGCACCACGCCATCAACCACCCCACATCCACCAACCACTCTGCACCCCACCCCCTACATCACCAACCACCCCACACCCACCAACTACTCTGCACCCAGTGCACCTACACCATCCACTTCACACCCTGCATCCATCAACTGCCCTGAATCTGACTCTCCACGTAGACCAACCTCCCAGCACCCCATTACCAAATGCTGCCCCTGACACCCGTCATCCACCAACCACCTGCACCCAGCATGGTCACCAGCCACTCAATCC